TTTAAATTTTTTTTTTTTTCTTTTTTTTTTTTTTTTTTTTTTTTTTTTTTTTTTTTTTATTTTTTTCCCCCGTTTGTGATTGGCCGATCGTTTTATCGAGCAAGAAATTCGCCTCACCGAGATCGTCTACACGGGCTGCTTACACGTTAACGTGGTGCTATAAAAAGAGCAGCCTTCAGCGCGATTCGCTCTCGGACGACTTGCCTTGCGTCCAGTTCGAACGTAGACATTGAACAGGAAGGTTTAAGGCTCGTGTCGTGAAACCGACACGGTTCCATTCTCTCTCGAAGATCAGTCTAAATGATCGAGTCTTTGATCCCAACAGGCTTTCCCCGGGGCTAATCGAGTGAATGGTGGACGCACAGTCGAAACGGGCAATCAACGATGTATAATTATATATATATATATATAGATATACGTATACGATAGCATGCAAATGGCAACGCCGTGTTCCAGTTGGATCACTCATGAGGTGTCGCTCGTACGATCGATCGCGTTTCAGGTTCATGTCAATACAAGGTTGGCCTTACTCTAGGAACACTGAAAGGGAGAGCAGGGAGCACACTCACACCTGACCCCAGTGAAACTCGTCAATTGCCAATTGTCTCTCTTTACGATTAATTAAACGTTAGTCGAACATCATGGCTGAACAATCGTGCAACGCCGGACGCGGTGCGCTTTCATCGTCATTCTCTATTATACGTCTTTTCGCCAAGTACACCGGCTCTGCTCTGACATGGTCATTGGCAACAGTTCGCTACGAAGCTGCCCACTCGAGGCTGGCGAAGCGGTTCTTGAACGGGCGGGTTCGGTGATCGTATATAACGCGTAATACTCAGATGCGTATGAAAATGAATATTAATTACAGTCACAGGCTCAAGACAGACTGGTGGAAGCATCGTATCTCTGTTCGAGCACGAGAAGCTGCTCTTCACCGCGATCGTCTTAATGATTTTGCCATCCCTTTTCGTAGGGGTCGGGTCGAAACAGGGAGCAAGTGGTACTTCATTCAACACGAAACTCATCTACACACTTTGGTTATAATATAACGGTACGAGAACGCAACGGGGGTTTGGATGGGGTTACGTACGTGAAACGAGGTACACAAAGAGAAAACAGGGGCCAAGAAAAGATAGGCAGACCGTGGAATGGAGAAACAAAAGAGAGAAAAGGAAACGTAAAAAAAAGATATAGCTATTTATACCAACAATGGGTAGGTCACACGTATAAGTATATATATATATATATGTACGGTGGTAACAACAATATCGAGTAGGAGTAGTACAAGACCGGTTCAGCCAGGAGATCAGGGGTGAAGGGATATTCTAGATAAAACGATATAGTGTCGCAAAACACTTAAGAAGCCACTACGCCACGGACCACCAATATGCATCGATGCAAGGAAACCCATCCATGTAATTCTCGCATTTTCGTGACAGATCGTACTGAATGTTTCAATGTGTCTGAGGGATGTTCGACGTGTCTGACTCTACGCGTGTGTTCTATGGGACCAAGATCTTCGACAGGGATCGTAGCTACTTTGGAGGGACTATTTCCGTGGACCGACATTAGTCAGGGATCGATGAGACAGAGACCAGGGATCGACAATCGTGTTCCGATATATTCGTGTTCGCGTGTATATGTGTCTGTGTGTGTGTGTGTGTGTGTGTGTGTTCGATGTCGAGCGTGCGTGCGTGCGTGCTGCATCGCTATACCAATATATAAATTATACATAATCGTATATGTCGTGGTCGAATGTAAAATGTCAGTGTCGATGTCAATGCTGCCTTGCCTTCTGTGGGTAGCGTAGTTTCCCGAGACATGACCCATGCCATCACAGGACGACGTGGGGCACTGTATCAGCTCCTTGCCATCGCGACCACGAGGGGCGGGCCGAGGCGCGAAATTCAAAGAGTGCCGCCTCATATTCATACTGCACCGAACAACATCAACACGATAAGACACTCCCAACGCGATTGCTCGTCTCTCGTATGCCTGCACCTAACATCTCTTTCGTCGTCCACGAAATATCCACGGTAAGCACCTCCGCGTCGGCCATCTTCGTTCGCGCGTTTCCTCGCGAGTGCACGTACGACTAACGTACGACTAACTTGCTCCGTGCAAGGATGCGAGGGAAAAATTCGCACGCCTGGTTGCAGATAGCAACGAAACGTGGACGATACGACGACGGAACGAAGACAGAACGACGGGACGGTGTTTTTAATCTTCGAAGCTCCGGACATCCACGACGGGGTACGAGCGTGGCCGGAACGCAATCGCTGCGTCGCGTCGTTACAGAGCAGCCTAGCAACCGGAAAGTTTTATTGCGCTCCGTAACTTTTCCTTCTCGGCCAGGCGAGAGGGAGGTTGCCGTGCACGGACAGCGGGCGTGATAGCGACATATGAGAGAGAAAAAATGCCGGAAAGTTCGGCACCGGTCGGTGGAGAAATAGCAGGAAGAGGCCGCAGCGGCAGCAGGAGTAGAAGGAATATACGCGGATCAGAGCACGAGAGCGGTTTGCTTCTGCTTTTTTCTCTCGTCTCCTCGTAGTCTCGTAGATGAACGAACTACCGCCGGGCTATGAGAAGCCTCGAAAACCTCGATGGCCCTTGAGTAGCCGCGATATTGCCGGCCAACCGAGCCGACGGACGCGGACTTGAGTGCAATTCACCGGTACGCCCCCGGATGCTCTGCCTTCCGTATTTTCCCAGCCTCCGTCTAACCCGTCGCTTCTCTGTCTTCGTGCGGACAATAAGTCGCCGAGTTGTTCGCTCGTTCTTCCTCTATTACGCTGCGGCTACCGGTCAACGGTAAACCAATTTACCAACGTTTCTTTATGGCCAGGAATCACGTAATTGCTCTCGAAGGTACGTCTCGTTCGGTTTCCATTTTATCGCGTACCGTGCTTCGTTGCGTTCCGAGGGGGACGGTGAGCCTTTGGGGATTTCGATGACGCGATTAAGGTCTTAACGAGAATCGTATCGCAGCTTCTCCTAGCGAAATGGAAAATTTTACTTCCAGCAATTATTTTCTAAACGAACAAACGCCTCTCGTGAAATTGGAAATTAGAACGAATCGGAAATTCTTAGATCGCGAATAGAAATATCGTCACAGGCTACACGTCGAATTTGGAACATCCGAGACACGCCTCGATCGTTCGATCATTTTTCCAGAATCCTCTCGAATCGCGACGACGCGGGGCGTGGACATTCCGGAAGAATCTCGGCTTGGAATTCCGGAGCTGGGCGGAGATTAGAAAAGAGAGGCAAGCAGCCTCGCCCGAGGTATCCGAGGTGCATTTCAGGGGTCTAACCTCGATGGGACGACGCGGGTCTCGCCCCATAATCCAGTGCGGTGGCAACTGATTATACCCCACCTCCTCTTTCCACCTTATCCACCCTTGGCAGCTCACCCCTCCTCTCCAGCTGCCTCGTTCCACCTCCTCTCCTTATGCCACGAACCGCGCCTTCTCCACCGTGCCGCCGAGCTTTACGTCAATTAGAATAAGGTTGGCACTTTCGGTACGAAGAGTAATTACTTTAATTAACAAAATGGAAGGTAGGTATGCGCGACCTCCGCCTCCCTCCGCGTCGCCGATTTTACATCCGTGCCTTTTCAGCCGCGCTCAGTACGCGCGTACATCGCGAGAGAGATTCGCGCGACCCTTTCCGCAAGGCAAGTACCAAATGTGCGATGCTCGCATGCACGATTAACACACGCGTGGACGTTCGTCCGGCTCATCGGGCCGCGCGGATGCGCCTCGATGCGACGCTCCTGGCGTTTCATCGTCGTCTGACTACGTAGCGCCTTAGACTACTCGCAGCTGGACTCGCAGCTGCGTCGCTCGGTTGTCAACGATCAGGGGTACGCATATGAAATTTGCAATTTTCATTAACAGACACTGGACCGAGTGTAACGAGTATTAAAAATTTGTAGAAAGATGAAACAAATTTTTGGAACAAACTCTGTATAGAATTTACATCGAGAAAGATTGCGTGGGTCTAAACGGACCCACGATTCTTCCACTGTGCGAGGATTAAGGAAAAATTTCTGTACTCTGGTTACGATTAGAAATTTTGACATTTCATGTGTACCCCTAGAATAGTCTTATACAGAGAAATTATTTAAAATAGATTCATTAGTCTGACGAATAAGGGACGTTAAAGAACAATCGCAGATAGCAAAGACAGTTCGATTACAAATAATTCCGTACTGAAATCACGCTTACGCAGGGATCACGATGAACCGGAAACGTCGTAGATTTCCTCACGACCGCGGTATTATTCTTAAAGGAAAGTAGATCGTCGAGTTCCTTACCTATCGTCTTTACCCGTAGGTTTATCGAGAGGTCCGACTGTGTGCTGCGGGGGCGGCATACTATAGCAGGGTGTCGGCGTATAGCCAGCCGGGATTTGGTAACCGGAAGTCACGGGACCTCCGGGATAAGTTCCACCGCAATTGTAGCCTGCAGTGGGGTAAGGAGTGTACGTGTTCCCAGGATATTCCGGTTGAACGCCTGTCATTCCGTAGCCTGGGTGCGGGCTCATTGGTCCGTAACCTGGCAACCAGAAACATTTATAACGAAAATCATCCATCAGCGAAAGAGCATCCTATGAATACGCCATGCGAAGTACCGCGAGAAGAATCAAGACAAAATACAGGTATTGCAATCGAGTTGGGTCCGAAAATCGAGCCCAAGTCGATACACCCGGTTCGTTACATATTTACCATTTTCTAGTCAGCCTGGAAATTCGTGTGTACTTTGGTACTTCGCAGCATACCGATCAAAGCCGTGCAAATACGCCGTGCGCGAAAGTTGCAGATGGAGCGCAGGTTAAATCGGCAGTGCGCGGAAAACGGGGAATAAAGAAAGGCAGGGGCGGGAAAAAGTGGAGCAACGCTGGTACACGTGCGCGAGTGCAGCGAGGAGGGTGTGCAGCGAGTTGCAATTTTATGAAAATCCCGTAATCTCTTGGCGAGCAACGAGATGCAATAACGAAGTAAATAAAGAAAGCTCTCTTGCCGCGCGAAAACAAAGGAGCGGCGTGCGGGGAAGAGGAAAGGAAAAGGTGGGGGAAAAAAGGGGAAAGAGAAAGAAGAACAAGGAGCAATCGAGAGCCGGAACAAAGGTACAGGGGCGCAAAGGTCGAAACCGACGCGTCGCTTGATTAACCGTTGTAAAATCTACGCGTTTATTTACCGGCAAGAATTCATTTCGTCTGCAGTGCAAATAGCCGACGGACGAGGAGCGCCGGTGTACCGGCGACGTCGACGTCGCGCGAACACGACGACGCCGAACGAACGAATGAACCCGACATGCCGGCTGTGTGCTCGAATGTTTCAATTTCAATAACTACTCCCCAGCGTCAGAGTGCGCACAATATTGGCCGCGCCGGACTTTTGCCGGCTACGTGTACGCGAAATATTGATAATTAACAATGGTCGTGTACCGCCACAGGGAGGTGGTCCGGTAGGAAGGGTGCCGGTTTGGTGCACATCCACGCGGCGAAAGAGGATGAGAGGAGGAGGAAAGGGACGGCGGGCCGGGTGCGAGCAGGAGAGCCAACGACAGGGACGAAGAGAATGGGGGCTGCTGTAGGTTTGGAATGCCAAGGCACAGAGAGACCGAGGAAAATGAGAGTCGGGGCCATAGGTGCCTATTATGGCAGTCATGTACTGTTCCGGCGAATTTTTATTCGACGGTTGTAACCGCGTATCGCTCTCTCGTTCCGCTCCTCTCTCAACCGACCCCCGAGGGCGTCCAGCTCTTTGTTCTTTTCCGTATCCCTCGTCCATGCATCTCCTCGCTGCACCCCCTATATCGCTCGACGTTTCGCGCGGCCGATGTAACGACAAGCAGACGCGTCGCGTACGTCGGTTCAAGTATACGTGCTCGTAGAAATTTCCAACGGCAAGGATGTGTCTCGTCGCACCTACGCCGCTCTCCGTGGCTACGTCGCTGCTTCGGCTAATTTGTTTCGATGTTTCTGCTTCCAGAACGTTATATTCCGCGCGATACTAGATGCTGGACGCGCGGGTAGCAGTCTAATTGGATTTTCTTTTCATACGATCGCGGCGTAGACGAGATTTTCAACGCGCGTCGCGGAACCACGAGGAGTACCTCTGCGAATTCGTTTTAAGAAACGCGTTTGTACAAAGCAAATTGGTCAAAGTCATTGTTTTCGAGGTACAATTTCAATGGCTAGTCAGTTTCAGTGTTCACTTTATTTCACAGGGTTGATAAATTACAGGCAAATTGTGTAATATGCGGGGGAAAAAACGAGAAGAGAGAAGGAAGCGGAGATTCGGCGAGAAAGTAGAATCGGGAGTCGTAAAGCTAAGATCGACGACGAAGTATCTGACAAGTTGAGTGATTAACAGCGATAGCTCACCAGTGGGATCGCGGTAAGCGTCCATGTAGTGGGAACCCCCGCTGTCGGGGGTGCTTTCTCGACTGTACGCCGTGACGTGCACACCGGGTGGCGGGAAACCTGGCACAGGCCTGATTCCGGGACCCCCGCTGAAATTGACCGGCTCGTTCGCCGTGGAGAAGTCCACGGGCTCGGTTTGCTCCTCGATTGGTCTGGGTGCCGGGAAACCAGGTCCAACGGGAACCGCCACAGCTTCTCCGTGGCCGGTTGGATATTGGGGACTTGGCGCGCCGCTGAATTCAGATGAAGATGATGTACGATTTAATATCTCTCCCTTTCCGTTCATCCTCGTTGCGCCAGCAGGAAAATATTCGCGGGATTAAAACGCTTCTACGCTTGTTCGCTGTGTATTTAACGAAAGATAGATTTCGGCTCGCGTAGCTCTATTTCGAGGGAGTGCTCGAAGAAGAGAGTAGAGGGTCGAACGATGATTACACTGTCCAACAGATTGTAAGTACTTTTCTAATATGTAATATCTATTAGGTGATGCTTGTAGAGTTTACTTTCCTGAACGAGGATCTGTAATCGAAATTGCACTGTCATTCTCAGTTTCCGAAAAATTAGAGTTTTTCTAAAAAGCCACGATTTCTGGCTATAATGAAATATTATTTGTGTAATACTTTATTTTAGCGAAAAATATAGAGAAAATAAAAGTATTTTGACATACATGCATATACGGATCATAGGAATTTATCTTATGGTGGTGCGAACGCAGTTTTAGTCTATAAAACCTGTATAAATTATAATATTTAATATTGATAGCAATTTAATATTGTTAATAACAAATTATACGTAATGTAAATGTACAATAATGGTGAAAAAATTAATAAATTATTCAATATAATTTGAACTTCTAACATACTTATGTTAAAATATAACTGTAATTTGCAAAACGTTTATAAATAATTAGACCAATTGTTAATAACAAATTAATATTGTTCATAAAAAATTACCCGCAACGTAAATGTATAATAAATGTGAAAAAAGTAATAAAAATAATTTGGTTTCAATAGAATTTAGAACGTATTTGTGTTAAAATATACCAATAACTTGGAGAAAGTTCATAAATAATTACACCAATTGTTAATAACAAATTAATATTGTTATTAACAAATTGCCCGCAACGTATATTTATAATCGCAGTGAAAAAATTAATAAATTATTGCCTATTAAGGCGAGAAAATAATAAATAATGAAATCGGTAAAGTTCGAAAATTAGCGATCGGGGTGGGGAGCTCGACCGATCAGAGGCTATATAAGGAGCGACGCCACGCAACAGAAGCCATTTGTCGATTCGACTTCGGGAGTGTAACGTATAAATTTTCGTTGTGCGCGAGGAGTTGGGATTCGAAGCGAGGTTGGGACTAGCCACCCCAACCTCACCCCACTCCATTACTAATCATTTCTTTTTTGTTTACAGTTATTAATTTTCTTTTCTTTCAGGAATTAATCATTTTTTCTTTTTTCAGGTTTTAACTATTTTTTTTTTCTTTCAGATAATATTTTCTCGTTTCCATTTAGTTTTATTTGACAATTCGAATATTTCGTATAATATTCGAATGTCTCGTCGGTGGGTTGTTTATTTCTCATCGTTGGGTTGTTTATATCTCATCGTTGGTTTATTTATGTCTCATCGTTGGGTTATTAATAATTTTTATTTTCAGATATTAATTATTCTAGTCTTCCAGGTTTTAATTATTTTTCTCCTTTCGGATTTTAATTTTTATTTGAATATTCAAATATTTGGTATAATATTCGAATGTTCCGTCGTTGGTTTGTTTATGTCTCATCGTTGGTTTCTTTCTGTCTCATCGGTGGCTTGTTCCTTCCACTTGGTTAACCTTCATGGTTTCTATTCGTTCGTTTTCTTCCCTCGTACTAATTCGTTTCCTTTCAGGTTAATATTAACATTAATATATTCTGTTTCAGCTTTTAGATTTCTCAAGATTTTTAGGTTCCTCGATATTTCATTCAAGGGCTATCGTTGGGCGCCAAAGGATGGGTGCGTTTAGACCTAAGTAGTTATAAGCAGATATAAGATAGATCGATAGACTAAGATTCTTGTGCGCGCTATCCGTACAAAGGTAAGCCACCTAACTTGGAGGGAATATATACATTTTATATTTTTCTCCCTTTCCCACTCGTTAACCAAATTGAACATAATTGTTCGCGCGATAATCGCGATTGTTCTTAAGTACCGACTAGCCTACGTAACGTACTCCCTTGTACTCGACAACTTTACGTCTCATAAGTCATCTTCACGACTCGTCTCCGACACTCATTTCCAGTCACTGTCAATCTCGTCATGCATCGGGTTCCA